GCTTATGTGATTTTGCTTTAAAAAAAGAAAAACCCAGCATAAGAGGTTAAAGGATGAGAGTCAAAATGGGGGAATTGTACTCACTTATACATAGGTACATAGCTAACACCCTTAATCTACTAGGAAATTCTAAAAACTGAGAAGAACAAAAGCCAAACAACTCCAAAGCAAATGGGAAAAAATGGGCAAGAATTATCAGGAAACTGTTCCACAAAATGAAACGCAGATGGCCTTTAAGTACACGAAGTCACTCAGCTTCACCCACCTTAAGGCAAGTGCAAACTCCAGCTCCACAACAACACCGTGTCTCCCTAGTGGCAAACGCCCGAGGTTGGCAGCACCAGGGGCCAGGCAGACTGTGGGCACCCCTCCCACTCGTCCAGGGAGGGACCCTCAGCAATAGCCCCACCCTGAGTGGGAAGCTATCCAAAGGTGTGCTGTTTCCCGTTACCTCCACTCGTTAGGCACAGTGTGGGCAGGAGTGAAGAGTCAGGTGAAGAGTCAGGCGTTGACCCTCTCCTTGAAGGAGCTTAGAGCCCACCTGAGGGGACAGATGGGGAGGAGAGGCCAGTGTGGACAGGGCAGCCAGGAAAAGACACCCTGGTCCCTAATCACGAGGAGCATGCAAGTCAAGGTAGCATCACAGACAGTCAGGTCAGCTAATGTCACGAAAAATAACTAAACAGAGCAGGAAACCAGGGTCCAGGCAGCTCAGTGGTAGAGGCTTCCTAGCACGCAAGGCCCCCTGATACCTAGAGAATAAACCAACACTGTGAGATGATGTTCACTCAGCTTTTTTCCTCTGTGGCCTAAGGATTCCACCAGCAAACCTGTCGAGGAGAAGTTCATTTGAGGGCTCACGGTCTCAGAGGTCTTAGCCCTTAGAAGGCTGCTCCATTTCTTGGGCTTGAGGTGAGGCAGAACCTCATGGTGGAGGGAAGAGCTCACATGGTGGGAGACTCAAAGCCACACCCCACGCCCACCTGCCTCCGGCCACCACCCAGTTAATCCCAGCAGGGATTAGTCTATGATTAGGGCAAGGCTCTGACCCAGTCATTTCTCCTCTGACCCTTCTTGCATTGTCTCACACGTGGGCTTTTGGGGGACACATCACATCCAAACCCTAGGAGATGCGGTGAAATCAGAGCTCTTTGTTCTGTTGATGGAAATATGAGGCAGCTGCTGTGGAAAACAGTAGGCAGATCCTCGGAAAGTCGAAAACAGAACTTCCAAGTGACCCAGCCACTCCGCTTCTGGGCATAGACCCTCCCGGTTACAAGGGGGTCTCCAAAAGATGTTCATACAGCTGCGTCCACAGCTAAACTGTGCAAGTGGCCCATGTCCACTGAAGGGTGAATGAGCTGATGAGCAACTGTGGCCTGTCCACGCTGCAGAGCCATCTTCAGCCTCAGAGGGGTCTCTGACATGCTGCAGCAGGTGAGCCTGGAGGATGTGACGCCTGGGAAGTGAGCCAGTCACAGAGGACAGCTTGGCGACCCACCATCGTGGTCCCTAGAGCCCACAGGTCCACTGGTGGCCCCAGGGGCTGGGCAGGGACTGAGGAGCTGTTGAAGGGGGACAAAGATGCGGTTTTGCGACTCCTGGGGCTGGGGATGTGGCTCAGTGGCCGGCTTGGGTGAGGCCTGGTTCCATCTTCAGCAACCACAGGAAAATAAAAGAGCCTGTGGTGGCAGCTGCAGGAAAATGGGGACATGCGCAACACCGCCCAGTGGCTGGACAGTGGCTAAGATGGCCAGCTCCAGGCTGTGCATGCTTCAGCACCCCTGAAAACAACACAGCTTGCAGAGCCATCTCCGTCCCTCTGAGCACACTGCGGGTGTCCTGCTGTCTGGGCGCCTGGCGGGGGGGGGGGGAGACTGGGCTTCCCTCCCCTCCCCAGGAAGCCCCCAGGCCTCGTTCCCTGTTTCCTGGGCTGTCCCCAGCGTCTGCCAAGCCCAGCAGACCTCAACACTGACACCTGAGGCTGGCCCAACAGAAGAGGAGAGGAGAGATCTTGACTCTGAGGGCTCGAAAGGAAATGGCAGGTGCTGACCTCCCAGCTCACTCCACGACTTCAGTCTCCTCCCAGGATTTTAACTCAAATGGTAAAGAAAAACAACCAGAAATCACTAAGGCTGAAGCCCAGGGGCAGGAGAGGCCGAGAGGCGGTTGGGCATCTGGAAGCCCCGAGGAAACTTCTCCCTCAGTTTCTGCTGATGACGGACAGCCAGAGCTGGAAGGGCCTCATCCCCAACTCCAAGCTTCCTAGTCCCTCGCCAGGTCCAGGCCAAACACTCCACCCTGAGCTCCCAGGTCACTGCCCCTTCCTCTCAGCCCCGCACTGAACTCCCTGGGCCCCAGGGCAGGAAGACCAGGCCTGTGCAGGGAGCAACACAGTCCAGCCTGTCCTCCTGCCGTGGGTCATCTCTGTGGTGTTGCCATGACACTGACGCAGAGGAGAGACAGCCACATCGGAAATAAACATTCATGGAGCGCGCAGCAAGGGACAGCCCCTGCAGCCTCAGCGAGGGGAGCCGAGGCAGAGTGGCTCTCCCAGCACCGTGTTCGTTTGTCAATTACTTCTAATATCTCCACGACCCAGCGTGAGTTGGGGCTGCAGAGAAACCAAGCGGCGCTGGGAGGCCTGGCTCTGAGGCCGGTGCAGCCTGGCTGGGGGTGGGGAGGGCACGCCATCCTCCCTCTTCCCAGCAGGCCCCTCACAGGCCTGGCTCCTCCAGCAGGGATCGGGAAGAAGGGCGGCTGAGGACCAACCCAGCCTCACCACTGGGGATAAGAGAGAATGCACAGCGTGGGGGGGGGAGCCCAGGACCAACCTCTGCCCCCTGTCCCTTCCCACTGTGATCCGCAAGCACTCCTCCAGCACCACCTCTCTCCAGCCACATCCCCACTCCGTGGAACATGTAATATAGAAAAGTCCTTCAAATACAGTGGGCTGAGCGCCCATCAGGAATGGACCAAGAAAATAAGACGCACACAAAACGGAATACTGGTCAGCCTTGAAAACGAAGGAGACCCTGGGCCAAGTGGAGCGAGGCACTCCTGTAGTCCAGCAACCTGGGGGGCTGAGGCGGAGAACTGTAAGTTCCAGGCCATTCTGGGCAACTTAGATAAAATAAAAAGGGCCAGTGGTAGAGCACTTGCCTGGCATTTGTGAGGCCCTGGGCTCAGTCTCCAGGACCAGAGGTAAAGGAGATTTAAACAGCCTGGGTGACCCTGAGGGCGCTGACAGGGAAATGAGCAGACAGATTCAAGGAGCTGGTGCCCAGTGGTGGAGAGCCACACTGACCCCCCCCCCAGAGGCCCAGATGTGACAGTGCCAAGCTCGAAGCCAGCTGCGGATGGAGGGAGTATTGAGGAGCATCTCGCTGCGCTGCAGACCCATGAGCCACGCGGGAGCCCAGGAGCCCTTCCTGGCTGGAGGACAGCCCTTGCACCAGGTTTCATGGCACAGAGACCACGCTCTCTGGTGTCTCTTTTACATGGTCCCTTCATGGGGCCCCCCTTAATGACCTCTTTGACTAATGGCCTCCTGAAGGCTCCACCTTTAAATGCCACCACCTGGGGCCAGGGCTTCAGTGTGTGGATTTGGGGGAAGGGACACCATTCAGCCTGGTGCAGCACCTAAAGAGTTACAGAAGTCCCCAGGTAAGTGTCAAGTGCAGGTGGTGTGAGAATGAGGGTCTGGATTTTTAGAATTCCCCATTAATCAGGAATAAAAGCACAAAGTTGCTTAAAGGGGCCCAAGGGCCTGCTGAGGAGTGGCAAAGGCTCGGGAGCAGTGAGACCTTCACACACACAGCAGTCTGCGCAGAAGACTCCCCAGCTTGGGGGTGCAGGGCCAGGGTGGCATCAACTGGAGGCTAAGGGAGGAGGCCAGAAACGCAGGTCTACCTCCTTGGGGTCCTTGCTAGATGCTGCTATGTGGTAGGAAGGCCATCGCTAAGAAGGGCGTGGGGGAGACTCAGCAGAGGGTCACCTCCTGGAGAACACGATGTACTGCTGTCCAAGCCTCTTCCAGGCACAAGCCAGCCAGCGTAGCAGTAAGCTTTACAGGGAGTCCCAAATTCTCAGATCTGCTGCCCAGCAGGAGACTCTGGGTTCAGTGTGTATCTGCCAGCTACCAGTTCTCAGGCCCCTCAGTGTGCTTATCTAGAAATCACACCAAAAGACCCCCACCCCCACCCCTGGAAATAGAACCCAGAGCTCCAACCACAGAGCTATTCCCCCAGCCCCCCCCCCTTTTTTATCTTGAGACAAAGCCTCCCTAAGTTGCCCAGGCTGGCCTTGAACTTGAGATCCTCCTGACTCAGCCTCCCTAGTCACCTGGAGTACAGGTGTGTGCCAGTGTGCTTAGCTATATAAAAGTTCCTTATTGTTAGACCATTTGTCAGTTTCCTAAATCTCACAGATACACAAATTCAAACACTTGGTGCCCACAAGGCAGAACCTGCAGTGTGCTGATTACAAACGGCCACCCAGGAGGTCTGGATGGAGAGACTGCTTCCTTGGGGCCTGAGGAACATCAGAGCCAGGACTGCAGAAACACACCCAGCAGCTCCTGGAACCTCGGGGCTGAACTCAGCGCTCTATGTTTTCCTCCCCAAATCTGCTATAAGCAGGGTCGAGGCAATGGTAGTAAGTGCTGGGATGGCCTGGGTAATATTTCCAATAAAATGTCCCCAAACAGTAAGCTCAGACGTTTGAAAATCCTATCTAAAGCTGAAACTGTGTCTCCAGTCTGCTCCCAACTGAAACGCAGGGCTGTGTGACCCCCTTCCTCCCACCATGCTCTTTGTAGAAAGCCAACAAGTGCAGGCTGCAGGAGACGCTGGGCTGCCTTGCCTTCTGACCTCCCAGCAGGGGCCAGCCCCTCCTGCTCTCCTCCAACAGATCTTGGGCACTGAAGCCACAGGTGGCCCTGGGCTCTGCATGGCTCCTCCTCCTGAGAGCACACCGGTGTGCCTGATGTCAGCGCCTTGATGTCCTCTGCTGACGTCTCCTGGACACTGCTGGAAGGGGGCCACTGCTCCTCAGTGCTTGACTTTAGCAAAGGTAAGGGAGCTCTACCTGACATTGGGGGGGGGGGCGGTGCCAAAGGGAACATTGGTTCAAGGCCAAACTCCTGCCATTAGAAGGGGAGAGAGGGGCCCCGAAAGGCCTTGCCTGACCTTTTAATCCCAAACCCTGGCAGACACACCACTGGATGCCTTCTCCCAACAGCCGCCCAAGGCAGAGGGTTCTTCCACACTGACAGCTCCCTGGCTCCCTCAGGACCAGGCAGAGAGAGCAGAGCTGAGACCTGCCACTGCCTGCCACTCCAGAGTCAGCACCCTTGTTTCTATTATTTGCAGACAGCATGCAAAAAAGAGGTTTTCTTGCACCCCTCACAGCATGAAGGCACCCTGGACCGTGCCTAAGAAGCAAGGCAGAAGGTCACTGTTTAAAACCTTGAGTGCGGCTCACAAGAGGCAAGGTCAAGGGATGCAGGGTTGTTTTTTTTTTTCTTTCTTTCTTCTAGGTAAACCGTCCAGGCCGGCGCCTCCTCAGCCTGACCTAACCCTTCCCTCAGTGGCTTCTGACATGATCAAGCTTCGACAGCAACGCGGCCATCCCCGGAAACGCAAACATATGAATGTCTATGACTAAACACCGAGAAGAAGGGGGAAAACCGCCCGGCGGCACCCTCCCGCAGGCGGCACAGTGCAGTGCGGGAGCGCGGGCGGTACCCAGCACCTGCGCGGCCGCACCCAGCGCAGCGCCACCGCCTGCGCCCGCGGCCTGCGCGCTGAGCCGGCCGGCTCGGCACATCCCAGAAACCCGGCTGCGGAAATAAACGGCCGGTGGCCCGCGGGAGGTCGCCTGGAGAGGCAGAAGGGAGCTCGCCCCGGCCGCAGGACCCCCCACCCCCGGCTTGCGCGACCAGTGGGCCCCGCCACCCCCGCCACCCAGGGCCCCGCCAGGCCTCTGCGCAGGGCGCCCGCAGCCCCGGCGCACCGTGCCAGGCGCCGGCGGAGCGCAGAGGCCCCGGCCCCGGCGAGCCGCGTCCCCCGCCCGGGTCAGGATGCACGGCACGCAGTCCCCAAACACGGCCGGCGGCTGCTCACCGAGGCTCCCCGCGAGCGGGCTCCGGGCGGCACGGGCTCCGAGGCGGCGGCGGCGGCGTCCGACGGCCCCGCTCAGCCATTGCAGTGGCGCTGCGGCGGGCGGGGGGCGCGCGTCACCGCGGGCAGGCGCCCCGAAACCCGGCCCTCCCGGCACTGCCGCTCACGGGCCGCTCCGCCGGGCGCGCAGGCTCGGCGACACCCGCCCTGACCTCCCCGGGATCGCTGGTCTTATTCTTTTGAGGACCAGGTTTGCGGGCTATTAAAGCAAGCATCAGAGCTCCTGAAAATAACCCTGGCGACTGCAGACAAGTCTGCAGAGAGGGGTGGGGAGGTGGAAGCCAGCGGTTAAACGGGGCGCTGCCTGCCACCCAGGGCCACAGGCTTACCAGGGACTTCTCGGTAGCAGGAATTACTCACCCTCATTTCGTGCTGCACGGAGCGGCCATGAGCAGCACGGGAGAGTCGCACGTGTGTGCTCCAACCATTAACTCTTGGCTTCCCATCTCCAAAGGCAGCCTGCCTTCCCCGCCCTGCTGGGGAGTGCGGCTGCGGCAAGCAGCATTCCCAGTTCAGACCCACAGTTTCGTCCTTCCCCTTCCCACTAGGTTGGCTGGGTCTTCCCATCAAGTGGCTTCTTCACGTTACAGTCACACCGGGAGAGCGTGGGCTGCTGGAGGGGCCAGATGCGCACAGCAGGGGTATGCGACGTCACACCTACACACTAAGTCGCAGCTCCTCGGCAGAAGGCACCTTCCCTGGATGCCAAGATTGCAGATCTGCAGAGGCCAAAGGTCTGGGCATGGAAAGCAGATGTTCCTGCAAGTGCATCCTTGCCAGGGTGTAACTGCCAGGGCTGTCTCCCCACCAGCCCCCAGACCCATGCATTCTGGCTAAAAGAAGCCAGAACCACTTAGGGACTGCTGAGGGGGCATCCCAGAACCCAACCTCAGCCTTGCAGGGGGCTGCTCTCCCCACTGGTGATCCATGGGTTTTATTTTTGTTTTTGCAGTATGGGGAATTGAACCCAGGGACACTTAACCACTGAGTCACATCCCCAGCTTTTTTTTTTTTTTTAAAGAGAGAGTGAGAGAGAGAGAGTGAGAGAGAGAATTTTTAGTTTTCGGCGGACACAACATCTTTGTTTGTATGTGGCGCTGAGGATTGAACCCTGGCCGCACGCATGCCAGGCGAGCGCGCTACCGCTTGAGCCACATCTCCAGCCCCCCAGCTATTTTTATTTTTTATTTTGCTAAGTTGTGCAGGGCCTCACTAAGTTGTTGATGCTAGCTTTGAACTTGTGATCCTCCTACCTTAGCCTCCCAACTGGCTGGGATGACAGATGTGCACCACCAGGCCCAATGACCCAGGGGGTCTTTAAACAAGCCATTCCAAAGCTGTGTGATAACAGATACTTGTCAGTCCCTCAGACATCAGCCATGCCTCGCTTCCCTGGTTCTTTGATCAGAAGCAGTGTGGATGAGGCTGATATTGTAGCTCAGTGGTAGAGCACTGGCCTAGCATGTGTGTGAGGCATTGGGTGCGATTCTCAGCACCACATATAAATAAATGAAATAAAGGCCCATCAGCAACTAAAAGAAGAAGAAGAAGAAGAAGTGTGGATGGTATGGTGTGAAGTGAACAGGGTACTCAGAAGTCTCCAGATGACGTTATTGGTGGCAACTCAGTGGACCAGGAAGGAAAGAGGTTTATTCTGGTGAGGACAAGGCACTACCCCTTCATGATGGGAGGGGTCTGCTAGAGCCAGTTTGCCACCAGATGTCCAACTGATCTCCCCAGGGTGTGATGCCACATCACAGGCCAGGGCTGTGTAGGTGGGTGGTCAGGGTTGTATAGATGGGCAGTGGCCAGGGCTATGTAGATGGGCAGTGGCCAGTGCTGACTAGCATCCCTCTTCAGCTGCCACCTCTTTTGCATCACCCCTCTGCCCAGGCTTCTGGTATTCATGGGGATATCTGTTGGTGTGGGCTTTTGGCAAGAGAGGACCTCTGGGCTGTCTGAAGTCTGCATCTGAAGGCTTTACCACAGTCCAGCCATGTGTGGAGTGCGGGTCTGCATGACAGGTGACTGTAGGGACCAGGACTCCAGATATGAAAGAGCTCCCAGCCCTGGAGCAATGCTCAGAAGGAACCTCATGTCCATGGAGACTTCCTGCCCTGCGGTCTCTAAGAGGACACTTGAAGTCTGGCTCCACGGAGGGGCACACAGCATGCTCAGCCCTTTTCTGCTCTGGGACTTGGTACGTCCGTCTTCTGCTTCAGGGTGTGCCTTTGCATTGGGTTCCACACCTCAGCCCTTCTGCATGGACCGGCTGTCCATCATCTCCAGTGGAGTCTGCAGGGAGCCAGGCATTCCTTGAGAACCAGGTTCAGACAACTGCAGAGGTCACCTGCTCCCCTGCCCTCCCGCCTCCCTTCCAGCTCACCTTTCCCACACTGCCTTCTTATGCTGGGCTGGGCAGAGGCAGACTGGGGGGCATGACCCCGCACTACTGGGAAGTGTGGTCGGCTCCTTGACTGAGGATGTGAGACCCCAGCAGACTGAGTCGTCGTGGTGGGGCATCTGCACAGCTGGAGGGGCAAGTTTTATGTCGTACATTCTTTGCACCAACTCCTCCACTGAGAAAATTCAAATGCTGGTAAGACTTTGAAAATTCCCTCTCACTCATCGTAAGTTTGTATGGATTTACCAAAAAAAAAAAAAAAAAATTAAACAGGAGTGGGAGCCCAGCCAGGCAGTTTGAAGACAGTTGCTGCTTTTAATACGGGGGCATGTGCTGTTGGGGTCCCTGAGCCAGGCTCTTGGTGGCCTTTAGGGCCAGAGGCACTGAAGTCAAAGACCAGGCAAGGGGGTGGGGGTAAGAGGAAGCCTCTCAGCATGAGCATCTCTCCAGGCCACACCTCAGGTGGAGGGACCACCCACCATCAAGAGGGTGGAGCAGGGACAGGAGCATCCTCCTGGGAGAAGAGGGAAATATGTCCACTTCGCAAGGCGGCCCCATTGCTGCCACCAAGCCACCTGGAGGAAACACGTGCCACCTCTCCAAAGGAGTCTTCGCTCAGTGCTCACAGAGCTCCTAGAAAAAGGTTTTCAGGGGGCTGGGGCCGTGGCTCCGAGGTAGAGCGCTCGCCTGGTGTGTGAGGGCACTGAGTTCCGTCCTCAGCACCACACAAAAATAAAAGAGTAAAATAAGGACGTTGTGCCCACCTATAACTAAAAAATAAATATTAAAAAATATTTTCAGGGCAATGACCATTTCATAGTTGAAGACAATCATGACATAGAAAAGAAGGCATTGTAGGTGCAAATCAGAAAAAAAAAGGAAAAGAGGGGGTGAAGGGGGGAGGGGAGCAAGGGAGAAGGGTGCACAGCAGACCCCGGGACGTGGTGGTCCAACACACAGGCAGTCGTGCAACCGAGGCTGAGGAACAGAAAGCAAGATGAGAAATTTCCAGGGGAGAAGGAAACCGTAGAGTAGGCTTATTCACCCAACCTCATGGGATTCTGGAAATGAAAATGATAATCATCCAAATGTAAAACAAAATTGAAGAATGTCTCCACCAGCAGATCAGCCACAGCAACAGACAAAATCAGTAGGCCGTAAAACAGGTAGAAGACATATCTAGAAGGCAGCCCAGAGAGAACGAGGTCAGCAATCGGAGGGGCTAGGAGCTCTGTGAAGCAGAGCCAGGGTGTCCGACATGTTTTCAATCAACACAGCAGAAGTGGGCAGACGGGAAACCGGGCAAAGATCGTGTTCTAAGGGCTGGTGGTCGAGGTTCATAATCAAGAAGCACAGTGGACGATAAGTAGGTTCAGAACTAAGGAGTCCGGCTGGGCATGGTGGCACACGTCATTAATCCCAGAAGCTTGGGAGGCTGAGCAGGAGGATTGCGAACAAGGCCAGCCTCAACTACTTAGTGAGGCTCTCAGCAACTTAGTGAGACCCTGTCTCAAAATAAAAAAAATAAAAAGGGCTAGAGATGCCACTCAGTGATGGAGGATCCCTGAGTTCAGCCCGTAAGGAGTGAGGCACCGCAGAATAGCAGGGGAAAAGATCTTAAGGGTGAATCTCTGTGTTCACAGCTAGAATGACAACTGACCTCTGCTTGTTACAAGGAAAGCCAGAACATTCTAGGGCGATATTTTCAATGTGCAGAAAGAAAAATTAATTACTAAGCAAAAAATTCAGGACCAGTAGAATCTTTTAAAGACTAAATGGAAAATAGTTGCACTTTCAGAGATGCAAGCTGAGCTGGCCACCACAGAGCTGCTGCTGAAGGGGGTTCTCGCAGGTGACAGTGAAGTTACCCCAGATAGAAGGTGGCTCTGTAAGGAGGCACACGCTCGGAAAGCAGCTCTGCCTGCGTAGAGACTGACTTTATCAAACCAGAGTCCCACCCTGGGGGGCAAAAGGCTGAGATCAGACCCTGCGCCCGCCCGGAGGGGCTGAGCCTAGCCAGTCCCCCCGCCCCCCGCCCCCCCCCCCCGCCCCTGCAGCAGGCAGACTGTTGGCCTCCCTCTGAGGGCTGGGGTGCTCTCTGACATTCCTAGTGCAGCTCCAACAACAGGAACCCAAGGGAGGCTTCCCAACTCGCAGGGGAGCGGCCCTCTGCCATCCTCGTGGACAGGTGGGGGGCAGCAGAGGGAGGGGCAGAGCAGCCCTGCCCAGCAGGTGCCCTGGGCGGTCACACTGAGGGCCAGGCACTTCACTCACCAGGAAACTTGTCTGACGTTACTGGCTTAATTTTTTTCCCTGCATTTTTAAACTGAAAAGTCGATTAAAATGTTTTACAATTGGGGTAAGAGTGTAGCTCAACCAGAGCAGGACCTCCCACTGCCAGGCTCAGCTCCATCCCTGTACCACAAAAACAAACTCAGTCTTTAAATGCTTTTTTTTTTTTTTTTTTTAGAAAAGTGATCCTCAAGGTTTTATTTTTATTATTATTATTTTTTAATCACACCAAAAAAAAAAAAGCTAATACAGAGGGGCAGGAGGAACCAAGGACCTGCACGGAGGCAGGGCCTGATGGGCAGAGGTGGGGCAGCAGCTCATCTCTTAAAACGCTCCTAGAGCAACTCTGAAAACAGGAAGAGCAGAAGCCCTCGCTCTGGTCCTGGCTCTGGGTGACGGGGACAGGCCCACCTCCCTGGGTGTCCCACCAGCCCTGGCTGCAAAGCCTGGCTGGGCAGCTCCAGCAGCCCCTGAGCCCACCTGGGGGAGGGCTGGCAGGTGGGCAGGGTTGGAAGCAGTCCCCAGCGAGGGCTTGGCCACCTTCCTTCCCACATGGTGGGGCAGGGAAGGGTGCCCAGGGCCACAGGGAAGGCGCATCAACCCCTTTCCCTTCCGCCACTCTGGCGCCCCTGCCCCCAAACAGTTCCACAGAGAAGCACAGATCAGGGACCCACAGGAGCCTAAAGCCCTAGGGAAAGGGCCTTCTCCTCTGATTGGAGGAGCTCTGCTCCCAGGGGTCAGGCAAACCCTCAGACCTGTTGCTCTCTGGCTCCCCCAACTCCTCCCCTGTGGCCCAAGATGCAGGTTCAAAACAACAGCCAGAGGTGTGCAACCCAGCAGGCTGGAGATGCCAGGTCTCTGGCAAAATCAGAAGGGGACCCCAAGGAGCCCAGAGTCCTG